AACACAGCCAACAAAAACAAAAAAGATAATCTAATATAATGTTGAAAAGTTATTTAAATTGGTGGTTCCCTTTTTTTTGTTAATAGAAATTATTCTTGGTTTTTTTTTTATAGATCATCAATAAGAAACATGGGTTTCACAAAGGGTAGATCCACTATTTACCCCTTTTATGTCATCTTACAACTTTTGATATTGGAAACTAATCAGTTACCATATTATTTTTAAGGTGATACATGTTATTGATGAATGCTTTATATTTTAGCTGAAATAATTAACATTAACAAATTAAACCAGTATCAATCTTAGAAAATTAAAATTCAAAGTTAATGTGGAGCAAAGTAAATTATATAGAATATTGAAATGTATGATAAACAATACTTTTCATCTGGTATAAGAAACACTAGATATGATTTTTTTCCAAATTTATGCATTAGGTAATGTTAAATACTTTCCTCAGTTATTCTAAGATATGTGATAGGATCACTTAGAACAAAAGATTTGAAATGTAATCTTACAGGTAATTAAATCGATTCTAAACCGCCACTGTGTAAAAACAATAGATTGTGTGTATGTGAATCTACGCATGCAGCAGGATACGTGAATTAAACAAATAAAACCCAAAATTTGTGCTGAACTAAAACATTTTTCTGGTACCGGGTGGTTACAATTAGAAGAAACTAAACAGTATTTTGTAATTTTAATGGTAAGTTGTTTTCTTTTAATTATTGGCTATAGTTTGAGTTGAAAAAATATATGTAGAGAACTTAAACCTTCCTTTCCTTTCCATTCCTTCGTCTAACCTTCCAAAAGTTGACTTTAGTCTTTTGGGTCAGTTAATGTGATAAGTATGTTTAGTTATTGTACCTAAAATGAGTTCTGCTTGTGTTTTGTTTTTGTCAAATAATTGTAATTTAAATACTATTTCCCAAGCCTATGCCCATAGCCAAAGTCTAAGTGATTTGAAGTTGCATTGGTGACAACTATTTGCTTAATTTGATGCACATTTATAAAACCATTCTTTTACTCAGTGCTTGCTATTAAGTGAAACACTCCAAATTGTGTAACTATCACTTTTACAAAACTACTCTGAAACTGACCTTACATCAGGGCAGGAACTGGTTCAAAGTACAACCAAGACAAAACACATCAAAATACTTTCAACAGGGGTACAATTGCATGGGTTTCTACAGATTGTGGTACCATTAAAATACTCACCTACCTATACTACTGAATACCCGAACTGTTTAATTTATAATTAAAATTTTAAATTTGATCTTCAAACCAATTGTGAAACATGATGAAGATAAGATGGTGCAAAACATGTTTTTAATATTTTTCCCAGTGCTCACTTTGGTGACAAGTGATTGACACCAAAGGATTTAATTAAATAATGAAAACATTTCTTATTGAATATTATTGTTAGTGTATAATAAGAAAAAATACCTTAATTTTACTTTCTGATAAGAGTTTCCAGTGTTTAGAAATGTATTAAACTTAACTGAAAATAAGTTAGGATTTAGCCTAATATTTAAGCCTCAAAAATGTAAATTGCATTCAGTTTTAACTGGTCTAATTAATTTAGTCTCCTCTCAACAATTCAAACGTTTGTTTCTACCTCTAGAATCTCCCTTAATAGGAATATTTTAATTTATTACCGATTACTGTATACTTAGGCTTGTAAATTATATAAGTTATTCAATCGATCACATATCATTTGATAAAGTGTGCTGTATCCAACTGTTCAATACAGTTGATAGTGTGCATATGTTATTTGATTTATGTACAGAAGTGTAGATTTTATTTTAGATTTACGAGGTATGTTTGTAAAGGTTTGAATCTATATTTTTAAGGGTCTAATGAACTTGTTACCTATGTTTCTTAGTTCAAAAACTAAAAACGAGGGGACCTGTCTTGTATTTTTGTTTAGTTTAATGTGTCTATTTATTTCCCTTTTTTAAGATCTGTAGGACCTCTTTACCATGTTGATCCTGATACAGAACTAAGGATGATGACCCAAGAGGAACTATGATTGGGGTTTTACACAAATCAAATTTGTCAAAAAATTGTCTCCCATTGAAGATTATCCTTTCCTGGGCTTCCATAGAAGAGTGGTTAGTAGGTCTTCCATTTATTTCATCCTCATAATACTTTTTTTTACCCTCTATTGAATATTGGTTAACTGCCCCTTCAGGTTTCTCAGACGCAGTTTGTGAGTGATTAGTTGAGGAACGGTTTCCCTGTAACAGCCCTTTAACACTTATTTCGCTTCCAAACATTTTTTGTTCATTGTTATATTTTTTGGAATTTTGAGGAGTATTTTTGAATTGACCTGAGTGATTTGAAACATTTTGAGCTTGTTTACTATTTTCTACGGCTTTTACTGCTTGGTCCAAAAAAGCAGTGGAAGAATTACTATTAGAATCTCTCTCTATTTCTTGCCAGCCTGGGTGGTTTTTGTCAATCCGATTATTACCGATTCCCAATATAATATTGCTGTGAGGATTGATAGTGTTATCATTTGTTAAGCATTTTCTTTTCTTCTCTTCAGTTTCATTATGAGGTGTTACTATTTCGCTTAACTTTGATGATTTTTCATTTTGTGTGCTGCTAAAATCATCTGCAACGCCTTTTGTCGTGATATCACTTTTAATTTCCTCAAAACCCTCACTTTTCACAAGGTTTTTGGGAATATTTGATTTAGAAACATTTATTTTTGTTAGTTCCTCAGAACTTAACATATCTTCATCTGTTAACTGTGCGTGAGGTTCAGATGTATTGGATTCAAAAGAATCCAAACCATCGCTGAAGTGTTTACCATTTAACTGATTACCTTTACATATTTTACGGTGCAATTTCCTCTTGCTGACACGTTTAGCACCAAATTTGTTTAGCTGATTTATTTTTTTGTCATTATCAACAAGATTTTTATCAGGATCTTCTTTGGTACCATTTAAGCTTATATCACTTTTAGCTAAGGACTTTCGAGATCTACGTTCATCGATTTTTGTATGATTATTGTGATGTTTTGCTTTGTTTTTAGGGTTGGTTACATTTGTACTAACATTGTTTTTGTTTAAACCACCATTGTAGTTTAAAGAGTCAAAAGAATCTGCAATACTGATTACATGGTTGATTCCAGAAATTGCGTTCCTTGCCACAATGTTATTGGCAGACATTCCGCTGAATGTTCTATGATTACTTTCTGATGACATAGAATCTTTTGAGAAGGCATTTCTTGACTCTATTGTGTAAGTGTCATGATCACTTTCTGATACAATGGAATTTTCTGGAGAATAGTTTTGTAACTTCATATCATTGTAATGACTAGTCTTAATGTTGTTTTTAGGAAAACCTTGTACTAACTCAACATTGTCATGTTTATTATCACTTTGTGATGCAGCATTTTCATGAAAATTGTATTTTGACCTTGCAGTATAAGTTCCACGATCATATTTTAATGATATGGCATTTTCAGGAGAACTGTTTTGTGACTGTAGGCCTACATCAGTGACATATCCATTTGCAGACTGTATGGAATCTGCAGTAAATACCTTTGGTGACCTTACAGTGTTTGTTGTATGATAACTGCCTGATGTCTCAGCCATTGGTTCGGAATCCCTTACTGCTTTTAGGGTAAACTTTTCATGATCATTACTTGGTGCTGTTGAGTTTGGAGGAACATTATTTCTTAATTTTATAGTGTGAGTTTCATGGTCACTCTCTGATGTTATCGCATTTGGAGGCAGATTATTTCTAGAATCTTCAGTATATGTTTCATTTTCGCTACTTAACATTAAAAAATACCCACGAGAATCTTTATCTGACTCGACAACGTAAGTATCATGATCGCTACCTGAGGTTACAAAGCCTTTAGGAAAATCTTTTTCTGAAAGCTCATTGTAGTATTCGTGATCATTTTCTTCTGTTACTGTTTTTGTTGGATGATCATTTGGTATCTTTTCATCACGTATTTCATGGTTATTTACAGTGTAGTCATTTACCAACTCCATGGTTGAGGTTTCAAAACCACTTCTTGGCATTATTTTATTAGTATCAATAAACACTCTCTCTTTCATGTCTCTTTCTTGCATTGTAGTCTTTGACGAAGGATCTGATTCCAACTTCATATCATATACTTCATGGTCACTGTCAGATGTAGGATCAGTTAAAATATTCTTCCTTGACAACATTTCATCAATCGCCTCACCCCTTTCATAGAGAATTTCATTACTTAATGCGTGATATTTTTGAAGGGTATTATCAGCAATTAAATTTTGTTGTTGAAATGTTTCATTGGTTGCACTATCTCTCCTCGGCAGAATAGAATTGTTTAGATCATCAATTGTTGTTACTACTTCTCTGTCACATGGTCCATACTTGTCTAAACTGATGTTATTGCCTAATACAATTCCTGATGTGTCTGTCATGACTTTGGAGTAATTCATCATATTTAGTTCAGGCTCATCATTGTACTTAACTTCACTTTGAAAGGTATTAGACAGTTCCCATTCTTTACTAGAAAGGGGTTGGTAGAATTCGTTATTAGTAGGAGGACTGGAAGCAGAATAGTCACTCAAATTTTCAAAAGAAGGTTCTTTTACTCGCTCAAGATTAAACTCCATTTCAGATGAAGTGTCTTTTGATTCTTCAATATAAGAAGGGGACTTTACCTCAACTAAGTTTAATGAGATTTTGCCATCAACACTATCTATATGGTGAAGAGTTTTAACGTCTGAAAATTCATTATTTTGAGATTTATTCCCACTGCTAATATCAGTTTTGCCAATTTCAATTAGTGAATCATCGTCAAGATGACTCATATTTCTTATAGAATTTAAGGATGAGGATTTATTTCCTGAGAGAAATGACTTAGAATAGTAATCCTCTTTGGGAGTAGCAATGGAATTCTCTGATGAGGCCTTTAGAATAGTAATGCTAGTACTTAAATTAGGATCTAGATAATTGAGATTTCCCGAGCTAGCCCAATTACGCTTCTTTACCTGAGTTCCTGATGGAATTCCCTCACTGGCCGCCCTGCTGGTGCATCCACTCATCTGGCGAAGGTACTCCTTGTCATCGAAGATCTTTCTATCCCCACCTCCTGGTTTGTGCTTTACGTTATCAAGAGATCCAATCTTGCTCTGAGCTTTAACCTCAAGTTTTTGATCTTCAATCTGAAAAATTACATGTTAATTGAACTTTTGCCCACTGCTTTCAAAGAATAAATATGGATCTTACAAAATTAGAAGGTAAATTTACACTCGGGAAAGTTTTGTTATTTAAAACGCATGTCTAGAACTGAGCTGTAAAAGCCCAAGTTATTTTGATTTTATTTCATATTGTAACCCCAATGTAATATATACATGTAGAGGTTACCAGATATGATAAATTTATGTTCTCAACTCATAAACCAATTTAACTGAAGCCTGAAAAATAAAATGAAAAACACACGATTTGATTGAATGAGTGTTATATGTAAACTGTATATAGTGTAGATCATGGTTAAGTAAGACAAGGTGATAACCATACCATCAGTTGAGTTCTTGAAGTACATCGTGTAAGCTCTCTGATGATACCTTGTCTGGACCTGATTGATGACTCTTCTCTGCTGGGTTTTTATAGAGTGTTTTTGTTTGTATTTTTTAAACGTAAAAATCAGGCTTGTGAAATAATCTAGATTGCATTCTGCCAATGTATTTAGTTCTATATGTACATTTCAGTTATTATGTATACACATTCCAAAACCATTATTCTATCGTCAGTTTTTCAAAAATATCACATTCGTTATTTAGGGATAATTTTGGACATTTTCGATCAGGAATAGAAAAAAAATAATGGCATTTTGGGATCTGTAATTCGTTGTGAACTACTCTCTTTCCTTTCATTTTTACTAATTATTATTTTATTTCAGGTGTTCACAAGTACTACTATACACAGGGTATCCCTGAACACTGTACTGACGTTTTAAGAAAAAAATTCTGCACCAAAGGCAAATTAAAATAATTTCCAAAACTCTCCAAAAGGTTATCATCCGTACAGCCGCAATTTTGTTTCACATAACTATTTTTATTTTTAACGCCTTGTTGTAGTGAATAAAAATTTGGTACATATACATGTATTAAAAACATAAAGAACTATTTTAAGAAAAAGAATGATTTTTTATAATGGTTAGTTTCAAAATGTCTACTATTTAATATTTTAAACTCAAATAACATAAAAACTAATTATGCAAACATAACTGTTGTGGCAATGTCTTATTTCGACAATTTGATTGTAACTGTGTATAACAATATTTTTTCTTCAGTCACCTAACAAAGTGGCCTTCCTTGCACTGATTATGGCACAGAAAGTTGAGAATTGCTGCATCTACTTACTTTTGCCACACAGTTTTTTTGTTTGCCGCACACCAGTATTCCAACCAAACAACACTAAACAGCGTGCTTTAATTAGGCACGCAATACGTGTACGCTTGATATTAAGTTGGCAACACTTAAAGATATTACGACTTCGATCAGCTGGTGCAGCGTTTTCCATTTTGTTTAATGTTTGGATTTAACCTAACATAAAAACGTGTTGTACAGTGTTTGAAAGAAAAATTATTTATTTGCTTTATAGCAACTGTAGGAAAAATATAATGTGTAACGCGAGTGCAAACTGCCTTTGCTGCATTCGAGAAGCTTTCCACACTCGCCCTACGGCTAGTGCGTAAACATTTCTTTTGTGTGCAGCAAAGTGCCACTTCACCCACTAGTTACACAAATAACTATTCCCTCATTAGATAACTAACAATATTATAACAGCTGATTGTTTTAGCTAACTAGCATTTATGACTTAATAATCGCAGATATTTGTTTATACTCAGTATCTTAAAAGTAAATTTTCTTCCATATTTGTGAACCAATTTTCTTAAATTTGGTATAGTTAGCTTTGTTATAAGATTGTCTAAATAAAACATAGCATAAGTAGTTTTGTTTACCTCTGTTACTTTCATGTTATTTAAGCTTTAAGATTTTAAACGCCCGCCATTTTAAAACAAAGAATTATAAAAAAATAATATTTATTCTTGAAACAGGTCTTTGCATTAATAATACATGTACGAAATGTCAATTCATTACTAAATTCCGTTATTCAATAGAAAATAGTTTTGTGTGAAAACAAATAAGTGGCTGTAAGGGTAATTTTTGAGTTAAAAATAATTATGGTAATGATGGCTTATGTAGGTGTTCAGAAAGGCTTTTTAAAAGAGCGGTGAGTCTGTCATGAGAATAATTTAGCACAGTCACTACTAATTTCAGAAATGCTAGTAAGTTACCTGATAAAATTGTATAACCTAGATTATTGTAATAATCTATTTACTGTCAAAAAAATCTCTTAATCTAAGCTAAAATGTGTGCAGTAAAAGTGGTGTAAGTTAGGGTATAGGTTTCGTGTATGCTATGAATAACAAATCTGCTATTTATACAGTATTAATTATTTATTTGTAATATAGTTATTCATACACTGACATGAAAAACACTATACAAATTCTATAAGGTTGAGTTTAGTTAATGAATTATAATTCTGCAGTTTGTAGAAGTTTGTTTGGTAAAAAATAGACGAGCTTTTGTTTTTGTTTGTGAGTTTGTTTTAGTTTTCCCGTAGCAGTTTGACACCTACTAATCATCATCGTACTGATCTGACTTTTAAAGGTTTTTACTAAAATCTTTACTGTTGACTTTAAACACCAGAGACAACAACCCCTAAAACTCACTGGAATCAATTATAGATTACATCTATGCAAAATAGACTGAGCAATATGATTAATTTTGTAATCTTTTATTTGTTTTAGTTATATTAATTTCAATTACTTGGCTTTGATATGGTGTAAATTGGTTGATACTTTGATATAATGCATGTATTTTCCTCGTAATTTTTGGCTACATTATGTTTTGTTTATCCCTGTTTCATTACCTCTGTTTCCTTGTATAGAAAATATGGTCAGTGTTTATATTGAATGAAGTTAGCCCAGGAATTAAAATTAAATTAACTCTTTACCCAAAAGAATATTAGCAATTCATGAGCAAAAATTAAAGCATTCATAAGTAGTGCTGTGTGTGTGCTGTATATATAGTGCTTGTATATTTTATGTGTCTAAGCTCATATTTAAGTTAGACATGAAGTAGTTTTACATACAAAACTAACGTAATCACCTCTTTGTCAAAAAAAGTTGAAATGCTTAACCGTGTACATCATGTATTTTGCTATAGCAGAAACACTTGATATTTTACAAGATAGCCTTACATAATTTTCCTACTAAATGTAGTTTTTTTGTGTTTGATTGCATTCAATAATCGTGTGCCTTATGCCTCCAGGCAAGAGTCAACATCACAGAATTTCAGGAGAGTTATGGATCATCATTCAGAAGGGGATGCGGAATACTACCCCCCCCCTGGAAAACCACCCCCAGGTGAAACGTAAGTAACGAAAATCTGATAACTAACCAATATGGGAGCCGTTTCCGTAACTGGAATACTACCCCCCGTAGCAAAATGTTATGCTATGTATTCAAGTTAATTTCATTCATAATAATTGTCATTGTAATTTTAATTCGAGTAATTCCGTTTAGTAACAGAAAAGGCATGTGTGGTCAAACAGAATTTTGAAATGTTACAGCAAGATTGGTTAGTAAGGTTAGGTTAGATTAGAACAGTTTCGCAACGAAACTTGAGTGTCCGTGACTGGAAAACTGCCCTCCCCCCGATCTCTGACGTCAACATGACGTAGGGACCTGCTTGGGGGTAGTTGTCCGGGAGGTAGTCTTCCAGTGACTCGTTTAGAACGATTGAAAGACAGCACTCATCTGTTAGGCTTTATGGCACATGGTTCTCCTCTTGAAAAAGTATAGTGTCTTCTTTTTTGTTCCTTGTATAAATTTTAACTAAGTGCAGACAATGTTTTGGTAAAAAAGTTAGACAACACTGATGTGAAAAAATATGAGCCGAGCTTAAAAATATACCTACTATAATATTGAACTATAGAAAAAGTTTCATAATCAAGGAAAGTTTATGGGTAAGGTGAGATTCACTTTTCATTCACGAATATGTGTTTTGAATCTAGTTATTTTATTGATAGATCCTGTTTTCAAAATATGATTGACTAATATGGATTGGATAGTGGTTAATTAACAAATTAAAGCTGTTTATTAGAAGCTCGCATATTGAAATCCCTATAAGAACTGTTGATACACTTATAGTGGTAACTTCCCATAAATACACGATTTTCTTAGAAACAGTTGGTTACACTATTTCTAAGTGTATACATAAAATATTTAACATAAATGGAACCTGAAACATCTGCAAAACCTTTCCTCAGTAAACATTATTTGTTCCTACAATGATGATAGGCTTATAATCATTTAATCATTCAACCAAGAGCATCAAGATATTTCTAAAATTCATAATTTGGAGGTACTCAATTTTACAACAATTTAAATTAGTATTCAATGTAGTGACGTTAATATACTGTACTCATAAAATATTTAAAAATTCATCCTTGTAGATACAATAAAAATTGACAGTAAAAAGTATGCTGATCATTTTGAACTAAATGATGTCCTCAAGCACACGAACTAAACATAAGCAATTTCTTTACCTACAATAATTAAAAACGTGTTGCAATATCAATCAATGATTGTATTCATAAAATAATATTGTGCAAAGTGCTACCATTCTCCATAGCAAACACATGCATTTTCTACAACTAATGAAATATGTGCTTCGGTAAAAGATAATTCATGACTTACTAAACTCCATTTCTGAAAGAAGAATCCACCTCAGTCGAGTTCTTTTATGGATGATTTTTATTTAATAATTCGTTTGATATCAATGCCTTTCAAAGAATAAATGAACCTAATAACTTATTTTTTTATTTATTTGAATTTCTATCAGTTATCAATATTTCTTATTGCTACAAAAATATGCTCAAAGATTGATTTTAACACAAAGTGAACATTATTGTTTTGCATTATCGGTTTAATCCTTTCAATAATAATAGATTGAGCTGTAGCCCTAGTATACTTTCTTTCGGTTTTCACAGTAACTGTAGGAACGCATCTCAACTAAAGTCACTGTAACTGATACAGTGGCTGTCTTGTTACAATGTAACTGTTACAAGATAAATTTAAACTTTTGACCACTTTCCTTATAGTGGCATGATATAAAATTTTAAGGGGATTAGTGATCAGTGAGAAGACTTGGAAGATCCTGATAATCCCAGTTATGGAGCAGAACTACACTAAACGTAGGTCACAGGTCAGTGAACTCACTCACTCAATGCATACATGGTGTTTAATTGCGATTTCCCGAAATGTTACTTTTTTCGCTGATGTACCTTTTTCTGAAGAACCACTGATCGGATTAGGATGGGAAAAAATACAGTTGTACTTTAGACCAGTACACACATTTTAAGCGGAAGACGTTTTAAAAATATATATAAAATTGTCTGAAAAAAAAATAAAAAATGATTTTTCCAAAAATTGACCTTTTTGTGATTAATGTAAAAAAAATAAAATTTTCCAACTTAAAAGTAATTTGTTTCGCTCCATTTGTTGAGAAAGGTCCATATAATAATGTCCTACATTTTTTTCATGATAGCCAAGTGGTTCCAGAGAAAAAGGTGCACAAAGTTTGGCAAAATAGCATTATATAGATAGGCCGTACCGAACCCCCTAAAAAACCCCCTATTAAAAAAGAGCCTGGACAGAATAGTTAGACGCTTTGAGATCAAACGTGATAAACTCACATCGTTATGAATGTTATACTTCTTTTTAATGGTTTTAAGAGTATTATTGTTTAAACCTTATTTTTGGTTGTTCTCATGGACTTTAGTCTTTACTTATATACGTTTCTTCACCATTTGATCCCTTAAGTTGATGATTTACATGTTTTACTATAATATGCTGCTTCATTTTCATTAGGCCTAGGTACTTAAAATTTAATTTATAAATTAATGAGACAATTTAAGACTACTAATAGTGTTATCACATCACTTAGTATGGGCAGCTTCATGTGCACTCGTGCAGTATTCAATTTAAACTTTAACTCTTCGTCACAATTCTTGTTTAGAATTGTAGAACTTAAATGAGTATTACCTTTTTTTAATGCACAGTTATACACCAATTTCTTGTTGATTGTTATTAAAATTTGATATTATAAATTTTCTATTCTGTTCTCTTATCAGTATGAAAGACGTAATTAGTGCTAATAAATAGTAATATATTATTATAACCACCATAGAGTTTCACAAACAATTTTTTGAAAAATTTACTTATCTTTGATTCACTTCATTCTCACTTGTGTCATTAATTAAATCCTTCTTAATATCTCTCTTGGCTACTATAACATGACACATGAGATTGTCAATCTAACTGAAGTTATAATTTTTCAAATTAAATATGTTCATAATTTATATTTTACTTTTTGTTATAAATATTAGTAATAAACGACACATTAAAACACGAGTATATCCACATATAAATTGAACCAGAGTAAAATGTAATTTTTCCAAAAACGTGTTAGTACTGGTTTCTGATATATTTAGGCAATTATAATAAATAACCTTAAAATACAATAACTAATTTAAAATTTATTCAAAAACTAGTATAAAAATATTTTAATGCAAAACATTAGGTTTTAAAACTGCTAAGCAATAGGAAATGAGAATCAAAATTCAAAATCAAAATTACTCATACATTTATTATTTACAGGTAATCGTGCTTTACAAAATGTGCTGGCACAAAACAATAAAAGTAGGTACATGAAACTATAACTAAGGTTCATAAGAATGATTGCTTAATAATTTTCTTGTCCTCATTGTGATATTAATAACAAAACATTTTATTGCTATTTTTGGTAGTTCGGTGCATGGTAGTTCATAAATGTCCATTTAAAAAATCTATTAATTAGTGATTTCCACTAATCTTCTAAAGCAACGTCAAATAAAAGTTAATTCTGGTATATTCCGTATGTGACTTTTACAATATAAAAACTATAAAAGAAGTAACTAAATGTTTACAAAACCTTTTATTTAACATAAATTACTGTGCATCCCTATTAAAAAGGTATCGTTGAGTTTTTATCACAAAATTGGACTCACTAGTAAATGTTTTATGAATGTGTGATGTGTGCTATTAGTGGCATTTCGTCATTCAACTAAGAACAATCTTGTAATTGATAAAAATAAAGAGTTTTGCATGTTCCTATTGGGACTTCATTAGATTTACTTTTTGGAACGTTTTAGTGTCATTACTAGACCCTAATATTTACAAGCCTTTGTTGTCATTGCTAATTTGAACAGTTTTTATTGATTTTATATCTCATTTGTTACCATTAGTTAGTCTCATTAGTTATATTACTTTTCAGATGATAGTGCTACTTAAATTCTTTGTACAATAATTGCTGTTGATTTTTGCTCCAGGAAAGGTTTAATGAGAAAAGCTCTACCATCATACAACCAATAAAATAGAAGGTCTTATGAAATAATTGTTTAATGCAACCGTTTCAAATTTGCCTTTAAAAATGTCACTATACAGTCAACTACAGAAATCTAGTTCCATGATTTTGTTGTAGAGCTGTTACTTATAAGCTAGAATAGAAGAAAGTAACAAAATGCCACTGGTGCTTTCTGTATTTTCTCATATTGTGTATGTGAGTGTATTCTAAGATTAAAACATTTTACAAAGGTATTTAAAAATTATCAAACCATAATAATGATGTTTCACTAATTAAAAATCGACTAAACAACAAACGTATTGCATGTTTGAATTACTTTTCAATATTACACAATTATTAGTAGATTATAACATCTAAAACACGGTAAAATGCTACTACTCCTACTAATATAAACTGATTGTTAAAAAAGTTGCACAGTTTTTTTTTCGACAAAAATAGTAGAAATATACTTGAATTAATTAGTAAAAACTGCGGGAAATGAAACTTTTGAGATTCATTTGAGATCAAAAGGAGAAATTGGAATGTTCAATAAAATCTTAACAAGTATCTTAGTAAAAATATTCTAAGAGGGTATTTTTTTAAGTAACGGTGCCGTGCGTGCACATAGCTTTGCAATTCGCGTTCACAAAAAATAATGCAAAGAAGCAGTGAGCCGTTCGAACTACGGAGCTATATGCACGAACGGCCCTTCCTTAAAACACATACCTCGAATCTATCTATGTATCGTTATGTATTATAAACGTTTAATGCGGATAATAGTTCAAATATATAACATTAGAGTTATATAAAAATATATATTTCATAAAAATAATTATTATGTGAACAATGATAGTTATTGTTGTCAATAGCTTGTAATAAATTATTTGTTCTACAATTTCATCATCTATCTGTAGAAATTTGTTAGGTGTTGAATACTTCTACTTTAAAATAAATACAATACAAAAGGGGTTTGTTTAATTTCGGCTTATTACTCAAAAGTAAGGAAAAAAGGTATCTTGCACTCTAAGTCATCAATATTTTAATCAATATTGCATTTTATGTCGACCAGCTGTTAACAGCAGCTGTAAAGCCGGGGTTTCCTAGGCACAGAACGCGGAGAGTGGAGTGCGGAAAAGTGATTTACATGGCAGTCTGCTCCGTTTCTAGGAAAGACAAGAGGAGTCCGCTCTCCGCGTTCCGCGCTCCGCGCTCCCTTTCCGTGCCTAGGAAACCCCGGCTTAAAATTGTGTAATCCCCCAAGAAATCATACATGGTATTGATCAATGTACCATTCACTGAAATGTATCAGTGAAAGGTTATCTATGACTGAATGCAATTGACCAATACAATGAGATGAAAAAGAAGTTCTTAACATATTTTTAAAAAACCCACAACCGAATTAATGAATATTTTATTGGTAACTACTTTTAATTTAGGTACGATTTTATTTTTAATTTTAAAATGCAAGATTGATGAACAATATATTTGTCATAATTCTTTGACGATGTCACTTATTTTTATAGCAAGGATGTTTTTGTAACTATAAAGTTTGATTTGATTTAAAAATTCGACTGACTCGGTACTATACTAATCAAATTTGTCAATTGATGAGTAAGGCACAAAATACCTTTTGTCACTAAAACAATCACTGTTACCGGGAGAGGAGACACTAGATCCAACAACTAACAGTGACTTTACAAAATTTAACATCTATACTGACTATTACAGTTTACAATTGTTCTTAAGTCAAGGAGAAGTAAGCCACGTAGGGTCGTACAGATGTTCCAAGGGCTGAGAGCTTAAATAATACTTACGTCAGCTGGGTTGCCATCCTGGGACCCGTCCTGCGAAGGGGTCTAGACAACAACGGTAAATCTCAAACTCAGCATTCCAACCCATTGTCACCATCAACCCACTGTCCAATCTCTGACCCACTGAATATTTTAGGGGGACGATGAAACTGACCCGATATTTTAGGAACGTTTTTAATGATGAAACTACCCCGCTCATTACAGAGCATCAATAAGGGTCGCCTCGCCATACCAGAAATGCTGAAATTGCCCCGAATGCCCGGCCAGGTAGCCGCTACGGGTCTGGGAAAAAGGGAATTATTGTTGTCCCTGCGTTCTGTCAATGACTGCAGTCTTCTAATAACTACCACAAATATCAGGAATTACTAGCTTATTTTAGGTTATGTTAAGTTAGGTTAGATTAGGTTAGGTGTTGTTAAGTTAGGTTAGGTTATGTTAGGTATTGGTATTGGTACAGAAACAATTGTGACTTGGCAGGAAAAGTAGTCGACGGCAGTTTTAGAAGACTGCAGTAGTAGTATGTTTTCTGTGACTGCAGTCACTGGCAGGACACAGGGACAAATATAATACTCTTTTTTTCCAGTCCCGTAGCGACTACCTGGCGCTCAGGGCAATTTCAGCATTTCTAGTCGAGGCGACCCTTCCTAATCCTTTTTAATGAGCGGGGCAGTTTCATCTTTTCAAATGTATTCCAGTATAATACTGGGGTCACAGACATCGTGTCTGATGAAATGAAAGGAGGCAAGGTTACAATATAAAAAAAAAACATAAAAAAAAACAACGAGGCTTTATGTGTAATAGTTTGGCAACTACCCTAAAAGATTAATGGGTTTCAATGTTCAATGATGAATGGATATGAATTGTTTTCATAATAATTTTCTTTTTGAATTTAAAATTAATGTACATGACCTTAAAAATGTTTGGGTGAAATTTCAAACAGTTTTAAAAATTATTACCTATTTTTTTGGTTGTTTTAGTATGCTGGTGTATGATGTAGCACTTCACCAGCTGATTGCTTTAAACGCCTTTTGCCGCTTATAATGTTTTCCCCGTTTTTGAGCACAAGATTTTGAATGACTTTTGACCCATATAAGATAGAGTGTTGAAATTGTTGCCACTTTATTTTTATAAGATTTAGCAGCTTATGGGAATAATTTTACATGCTATATTACTCATTTTATAAAAGTTTTTAAAACAAAATCTTAAAATTATAACTTTTAAAAGATTTAAAGAACTATAATTTTAGTTACATAATGGCTAGAATATTTTCCATAGTTGAAAAACTGTATTAATATATGTTGAATTAGTCTTTAAATTTTAGGCAAAATAGTTAAAAAACAAAAAAGTTATTCAAATTTTTGTTAACTGACAAAAACTATAAAAAAGATGAAACCATTATATTTTATAAACACCAAGGGTAGGAAATTATAGTTTTTGTGTTATCTCTCCTTGTATTTTATTATACCGAATTTAAAAAAAATACAATTTATGGTTTAACTTTTAAAAATAGGAAAAAATCCGTTAAGCCTGTCTTTTTTTTAATGGCCAAGAATATTAATAAGCCCAACAACTTAAAACACTTTATATTCGATTAGTAAAGTATGGTTATAAAAGGTCATCAAAATCTTACAAAGATCATTATTGAAAACATCAGTGGTTTCAGAGGATTAAGACGAAGGTTGCATAGGTTCAATGGTTGTAACGTACAAAACATATAAAACTGCATCTAAAAAATTAAGAGATTATTGAACAACAGGCAAGCACTTGTCTACAAGACGGACAACTCATGCTTCAAATGCAATCTGTGCGACAGCCAACCACGGTAAAATATTAAATCGTTCTCAGATTGTTACAGTGCTCGAAATAAAAACAGTAAAATAAACTTAAAACTTAGGTAATTGTTTAACAAGAATATAATGTGATTTCATTCAATACTGTTATGAATTTCGAAAAGACCCTTCAGCCCTGGCCCATTCTTAGAATTTGTCAGAAGGAGAAAGATGGAGAGTAATAAATGTCTTCGAAATTAGTTTGGTAGTATGTAATATTTTTAAATGTTAAAATTATTGTCCTGCACTGAGATGAAACATGGAAAGTACGATTCTCTCTACTTTGTTTTAAAAACCAACTATGAACCATTCAATGTAGTTGGCTGTGACACTTTAGTTACCTATATGATTCAAAATTCCATTATGATCAACTACTTTCAATACAAACTATGCATTCGAATATTTAAAGCACTTTCAAGATAGAATTTAAAATGTTAACCAATGTTGATCAATTTTATATGAAACATAAAAGCATGTTTACTGTAAGTATTCAAATAAAAGAATAATCAAGATATACTAAAAATTTTTATTGAATTTCAACCGAATAAAACTCCCAGTTAGTCTAATTAAAAAGAAAATTGTACCTTATGGTGAAGGTATTCATGCATAATTCTTTAACACTTTATTAGATAATCATAAATTTTTAATTAGTGTAAAACGGATTAGGAAGAATCAAAATAAGAGATTCGTTAACGTTGTAGTCGTAATTTGGTAAAATCACCGTTTCCCACATACCTTGACATTTCCTCCTCCTGGAGTATGTTTGAGGTTATCCTTAGATCCTACTTTTGGTTTTGCTTTATCTTTGAAGTCCAGTTTGACACTTTCAATCTTCTTCTCGCCACCGCCAGGCTTGTGTGTTGCATTGTCCAGAGAACCCACTTTAGGTTTAGCCTCCCACTTCAGTTTTACTTGAGGTATCTGCAGTAAAGATAAAATATTCATCAAATCGAAAGTACACTTCAATTGAATTATCTGTCCAGCCAGTCGTCATGTTAAGCGCTACAACCAAAGATTAAAGGTTTACAATCTTTTAAACCAAGCTCAGAGATAAGAGTTGATTACTCGTAAATCTCTTATGAATGGGAATCAACAAGCTTTCAAGTTGATGAATGAACGTCAATGGCTCTTAGCCTTGTAAGTAGGCTACCTTAACACTGTGATAGTTACAATGGAATCCCCCGGTAGGTGTATTTTTGGATCATCATTGGGAATTAATTCAGTTGTTATTATTAATCTACAGAAGCTGCAGTGGTAATTCACTCAGATTACTTTGATAAACAAAGAATAGATTGTTTTAATCATATTTTTAAGAAATTCCTCTTTAACCTTGAATTTATATTGGCCTCGAGACTGCGTGCAAAACGTGGCCATCAAAACAAGAGCGGGTACAGTACAAGAGTAAAATGTACTGATATCCTTTAGGGCGGGTCCCACAACATTGCTGGCATGGATTCTGAACCACTTAATCAACAAGCTTGGAAAGGCATAAGTAAGTGGATACAACCTTCTTTATGAAGCAAGAAGAAGGTGGTTGGAGGTTTTTTTTACCTCCAAGCTATTCCCGACATGATGCTAACACTGTGAGGGAGAACGTTAAAATATAATATGTACCCACAGAGAAGTAATATGATGTACCCTAGAAGTAGTGAGCTTTATTATGTATTAACCATAAATAAACCCAAGAAAGACAGAAACGGACAAATTCAAGACAAAGAGGATGCTGATTGTATTCTCTTCATTAATTAGTAAGTAGAATCAGTTAAAATTTTTAAGGGATTTGAATTATCTGGAATACTTTCAAAAACTAAAGTTTTACTTAGTTAGAGAACCCCTAAACTATGTTATCTCCAAATATTCAGAGGAAGACTAATTAAGCAAGTCCAACCTTGGGTTGATCGGTAGTGCAAAGAGGTGGATTATTACCTGACCCAGTTTCTGACAGGTTATGGCTTTTCCCCGTTGTACCTGTTCAGGATGGGTAAAGCCGTGTCACCCGATTGAATTTACTTCCCGGGTACTCCTGACGATGCAGAACACACTTTCGTCCACTTCCCACGTTAAATAAATCCCCACCTGGGGGCTCATTACCATGAAGGCCTGCTGTCGGTGGACTAAGTCATCCCGATGATGAAGCATAAGGATAATTGAACCACTATGCTACATTTAGTCAATGTATTCTCTGTGCCAAGATACTCGACCTGGACCAGGATTAAGGCTAAGTCATAAACAAATTGTATACCAGAAACTGTGTGAGCCCTGAGAGCTTAGGTCAATGATGAGATGCCCTAAAGCAATATGACAATCAATCACATGTTTGTTTCCAACAGAGTAGAGGGTTTTTTGAGTGAGTAGTCTGATCAATTCAGGAGTTTTACCCTAAAGGCTGGCCACATGTGTGGGTAAAAGCATTTTCCCTCCTCTACCTAAAAAGGTTCTGATACTTCGAGAGCCTGAGTCAGGAGAACTTTGGGCAAACTTTAAAGCTGGCCAGCTGATAAAATAGCTGGCCTATATAGTGAAATATACTGTGCCAATACCTTACTATCCACTACCAATTGGTTGCTAAGCATTGTTACCTTCTTATCCCCACCACCAGGCTGATATGCGTCGTTCTTTGCTGCTATCCTGGGCTCAGCTTTCCAGTCCAGCTTCCGATGCTCAATTTTTACATTTCCACCACCAGGTTTATGAGTTGCATTTTGCAGGGAACCGATTTTCGACTTGACTGTTTTAAGGTTTGGTGATGGAGCTGCACCCACTTGAATTTTATTCATAGGAACTTCTGAAACAAAAATTGTTTTAGAAATATTATGGTTTTAAGTTAAATGCAATACTAAGTTTAAAATGTTTGTGAGACACTAAAATCTTTTTAGTGATAACGTTTTACTTATTTAATGTCCTTGCTTCAGGCTCTAGCCGAGAACCAGTTTACACAATACTTCAAGCTTATAGGCCTAGAGAGTTGCAGAATTGTGACATAGCTAAAACTATTTGTAATTGTTGCGATTTAATCTCGGGATCTCATGGAGCGAAGCCCCACACTCTGCCACTAGACCAGCTTGCTCCCCTTAGTGATATAATAGAACTGATGGGGTTTGGGAAGTATGTATTAACAACCCTACCCCTTACATAGCTAAAAATGCTCCAAGCGTTATCAATGTAGATCCACATAACAGATTTTATGTCCGATAACAGATTAAATTTCTTTTCATCAACGTGAATCCTCTCAACACCATAGGTGAAGCTAACTCTAACTTACAGTTGTAAGTAAGTTCCCATCCACTGGATCCCTGCTTATCACAAATAAACCGTTGTTATTTTCTCTTTATTCAATTAAATCTGCAGTTTCTCTCTAGTCATTTAAAAAGTAGGTATTCAAGTGTTTATGGAACAAATGCTATTATTAGATAAATAATGTTTCCGCTAATTATTTTGCAGTATTATTTTTTTTTTCTGTAACTGTTAGTGTGATAATTGTGATTATTCACTATTCATGTATATTGAGTACAGAACGAATAAAGGATTATCTTATTTCATTAGATTGATTTGGTGGGATTTTATCATAGGCATAGAACCCTGCTCTTTAGCAACTAGTGCAACAAATGCACCCCATCCCAATAATAATTTATTAAAATACAAAAACTTAACAACGTTTATCATTTTGGCTACAAGATCAGAAAACCATTAACCACTTGTTCTTCTTATTACAAATTTCCCCATGAGGAAAAATAAGTACAATAGAATGTAAATAGTTTATTGGTTTAACTGTTTGGGCCCCATAATAACTTTTAACTAACATCGACAATTAAAACTTTCAGTAGATAACAATTAAAATAGTTTATTTTACAAACCGCCCCAGCTAAAGGAGAATTTACTAGGCCAAAGAAAACACTCTAAATCAAATCATATAAAACATGCAGACAATTTCATGTAATTTACAACAACACACAAAAACAAGAATTAGATCAAACCACATGTGTGTAGGCCTGTATCATGTTTGGAAAGCGTAGACCTTCTACAATTGATAGCCACGATAGTAAATTGCCTCTTAAAATATGGATGATTCCTTTTTGGTATATCAAAATTATATATTTAAAAAAAAACTGAAGAGTGAGGAAAGAGAGTATTGTGAAGAGTGAAGTATAAATAAATACAAGAAAATACAACACAAATTTCTAATTACGTTAAGAAGCCATTACATATTAAAACAATAAGGATTCATCTTCATTTACTTGAACCATACAATGTAGATATAATAGCTAAATCCGAAATAGAAAAAAAACAAATATTATGTTAAGGTGAATTTGAACTATTTCCTGTGATACATTTGAAAATAATTTATTACAAGTTATTATTTTTAGTTTAGGGATACTCTGGAAATAATAACTGAGTCTAAGATAATCCTCTGAAAGTCTTGATAATAACCTCTCCTAACTGATACTTAAGCAGATTTTAAGTACCGTTGCCTATTTTTCTTTAGAATTTATTTAGTTTTAAATACATTTTACAAACACAAATCTGTGAAAATACATTTGTTAAACGATTGTTATTACTCAGTAGTGAAAACATGAAGCCAAAGGTCGATGCTAGGGGTCTATTTTGGACTCACCAATGGCTGTCTGAGTTTGGGTAGAATTTTTCAAAGGTATGCGACTTTTGGGGGGTAATGCCAAATATGCGGGGCTGAATCCCTCCATGATCCCCAAAGTAGTTGTGCCTAAGCAATATTCCTAACTAACTAACTTAGTACGTCCTAAACCTTAGTCCTATTTAAAAAATTACATTAAATAAAATAAATACAAATAGGCTAGCAAAATAAACTTTACCTAAGCAAACATATCCCATTCCAGAGTCTTGATCTCAATTTAAACTAAACTACACCAATGAGATAATACAGTAATTAATTGTCATCAGATTATGTTCAAGCATAACAAATGCTAGCAAATTTAGAGAAAAATAATTCAACACTTGAATCATGTTTTATCTGTTTTATGTAAAGAATAATTCAAGATAATATGTTTAGTTATTTTCCAAACAAATAAAAAGTATTTTTTTCATTATCTATTTCATTAACATCTGACTAGGAAATTAAAAAAAAATCCTTTGGGAGGCTTAAAGGCGCTGCATCTATAATTAGGATTTTATTTAACACATATGAAATATTTTTATTTTTTTATTTTTAACTGAATGTATAAAATATTTTATAGTGTAAGCTATGCATTCGTAATATAACAGAAAAATTTCAACAAGTTAAATGTAACAATGCTGTTACTGTTTAAAGAACAATTATGTTAAACATACCACCCCTCCTCTCCTCTAGAATAATTGACTAGTTGTAACCAACTGTTATCCGATATGATGATTGTACAAGAAAAAGTTAGGTTATGAACATAAGGTAATGAGCCTTTATACTATACAAAATGTATAACTGTGAGTAATTTAATTTTTAGTGATATATATATATAATTTTAAAAATTCTAATATTTAAGATGTTCTATATATGCAGAACTAATGCCATGAAGAAGTGAAACTTTGTTTAAAAAGTTGATTTTAATGAAGGTCTAGTGTTTACTCCATATTAATCTTCTCTAAACTATAGAGCCTTGTCGGGTGTTTTAGAGTTGCTAACAACTGGTAGATTTACAACGCTTGGATTTATAAATCTCAGAATAAGATCATTTCTATTTGTTTTATTTGTAGCGGCCTATTAATATTTTGAGGTTATAACAGATTTAACTAACCGTAAGTTGTTTAAGGTAATTTTTTAAGCGTGATTTTTTCAAATTCAAGGAAAACATCCCCTGACCGAATCTATCGTTTTTCTTTTTAAATAAAGTTAAGACCTTTATTAATATTTCTCTACTTCTTAATATACTTCAAATTTGCTATATATTACTTATCTACTTACTCTTTTTCTCAGCTGTTGGTGGAGCTTCTGGGGTTTTTGGAGAATTCTTAGATGATTTCGTCGGTGAGGGCAATGTAGAAAGTTTCTTTGGGGCAGGGATTTTTGATGGTGACTTTGATGGGGATGAGAGCCCATTAGTTGTTGGTCCATCCTAAAAATTAAAAAATTTAAATAAGATATAACTATAATTAAAAGCGTTACTTAGACTATTATTTTTCAATTTTCTTACAATTTGTCAATTTAGTTATATAAAAAAATATTAGTAAGAGTGTAAATCATTGACACTGACAAAAATAAAATTTCAAAATTGAAACCCACTAGTATCTAATAAGTTTTCCAATTTTGTCCACCCCCTCATAAAACCTGAAATTTAGAAATACGAGAATGTAATAAACCATGTTGTAACATGTTTATAAATTGATCAAATACATTTTATTATAAGCCTAGCCTATGAATGTACGGTAAGATTATTTTCAATATCACACAGTACACTTATTATCACAACAGTTCTACATTAGAATCGTTTAGGATATTTATCCTTTAAAGAATATTTTTTTGTAAAAAATGATTCAATCTTATCTTTGTTTCAAATGACGTAAAATGTTAGTTTTTATTTTAATCCGTTGCAGTTGCTGATTCATAAAGTTACTTACTTTTCTCTGCGTACTCTCATCAACACCACTGTCATGATCACCATCTGAAAAAAATAATAACGTAAACATAATAACATAGTTTCAGACAACAAATCAATACAAGGAAATACATAGTGTAGTTAACAAGTAGAAAAGTTTCCAAAAACAATTGTTAAGATCAAAGTTTTATGAGTTTCTGGACATTTATTTCCTCACCAGAAAATTATTTTAGTCTTTATTAGAAGTGCTAAACTTTAGCTGAGCAAAAACATTAACAAAATCTTGGCTTGATCAAAGATCACAAGCTCGCACCCCACTAATGTTTCTTGTATACCAAGTAGCATGAAAACTGTTTGAACTGGTAATCAATCAATTTTAAAACACGTTTAATATAAGTTTGGTATTGAAACTGTTTTGATATAAGCTGTAAACAAGTTTAAAATTGTTTTGATACAAGTTTTAAACAATTTTGATACTGGTTTAAACCAATTTTAAAACCAGTCACGAAACTTGTATTAAAACTGATTTGATATTTGTTTGGAACAATTTTGATACAAGTTTAAAACAATTTTAAAACCGGTCACAAAACTTGTATTAAAACAGTTTTGATATGAGTTTGAAAAAATGTTGATACAAGTAGTTTAAAACAATTTTTAAACCAGTCAAAAAACTTATATTAAATTGTTTTGATACAAGTTTGAAAAAATTTGTATACAATATATTATTTTTTTATAAATTTTTATACAGTCAATTAATTACAATTAGTCAAAAGTTGATTGACTAGTTTTTCAATCTGGGATGCCTGATCTGGACTCATTCCAGTAGTCCATATATGGCCAGATCTGAGAACTACCTTTTAAATATATAGCCCCAAACCATTACTGGTAACTGCAACACTTCTGATTTTTAATTTATTTTTACAAGTTATTTGTGAATGAAAATGCATTCCAATTTAAAGTGACAAACAATTAATGCTATGGAGAACATTTAAATATTGAAATAAAAAAAAAAAAAAAAAAAAAACAGTGCAACCGAAAACAAAAGGTTAGGTTGCTATTTAATTCCTTACTTATAAAAATTGTCATTATACCACTTTTGAGTGAAAAATGTTTGAAAATGTACACCATTTTATACTTATATTACAATAAATACAATTTGATTAATTTGCGTGTATATATATATATATATAGCAAATTTATATATATATTAAAAAATATTGGTTTTAAAAATGTGTAGTTAATAAAAATTTTTTCCTTAATTTTAACATAAACTTGGAACTCTTCTATTGAACCAAAAAATGTAGGTTCTTTAAAATCAAGTACCCAGATCTGGACCCAGGTGACTAAACAATCAAATATTACTACTCATACACATATTTTGTACAATTTTAAATACAACAAAATCTTCAAAGTGGTGGCTAATTTTCAAATGGTACCAAGTGTAAATAAGGAGAATATTAAACTAATTATTAATTAACTGTACCTTTGCTATCAAACAGCCACAAATATCAATGTCACGTAATTGGGCGTTATTAATTACATTCTTCAAATGACACAATGTAAGAAAAATCTTGTCCAAGTTTAATTACGACACCTAATACAGCTTATCGTATTCGTTATGGCTTTCGTTACACCAATAAATATGAAGCGGCCGTGGTGTAGTGGGTAAGTGGGTTCAAATTCCGACCGGAATTATGTTAATTTTATTAAATATTTCACTTTTTAATTTTTATTGTTTTTTAATACATAGTTTATATAATTCAATGTTTTGAAACAAGTTACAAATTGTTTTAGAAGAAGTATAAACTGTTTTCAAGTTTAAAACTGTTTCGATACTGAAAAAATTCCAAATATTACTTGTATTCAATTTTAAAACAAGTTTAAAAAAACTGTTTTGAAATTGCTTTGATATAGTTGAAATGCTACTTGGGTGTTGTTAAAAAACCCTGACTAATAAAGTTATTAGTTCCTTGTATCTTTTTTTCGTGATTGAATAATTTTCAAGAATATGAATAATGAAAAAACGTAAGCTGAAAGTTCTTAAGTGCTTAAGGTAGGGTTCATTCTACCTTATGGTTTAATCATAATGTATTCATAGTTTGTGAATAAAAACATTCATAAACAATAAAAGTGTACTTATTCTGAACTCTTGTTATAAAAGGGTAAACGAATTGTAACAACATTTACAATTTGTTTCTGCCCCACTTGATTTATTTTTATTTCTTTACAGATTTATGGCCTGATACTCAAAGGCATAAAGTCAACAGTCGAACACTTACCCTATTAATCCAGACTATTATACTAAAAATATTAACAACAAATCACGATAGCACTGTACTCTGGAAAGTCCAAACCGTCAACATATATTAGATATATAACCCAGCTGCTACTTGATATATATGTGACAGAATCATGACATGTCATGCTAGAGATACATAACATTTAAAGTTTCAAAACTGTAGCAGAAGTTAACATGCTACCACAGTGAAAGATATTACTGAACTATCTTTTGGAGACAACTTCCCTATGAAAACATAAGATGATTATGTTATACCATTTTCAGATAAAACTGCTGTTGAGTATATAACTTTCTGTTCCAAATGTTGGCACTCATTGGTGTTTAAAACATATGAATTTATAATTAGATACACATAGTTGTTGTGTTCCTTGAAATTTTGAAAATTGTCAACAAATCTGTACTCTTTTTAAAACTGTAAACAATATAACTGATTTTGGATAACCACAAAATGTAGGAAATGTATTTTTATTTTGTAAACATACTAAACTGTAAGATGTTGTTGACTGTTATAAATTATTACTATAACTTCCAAAATATTCACAAATTGAATATTCGGTCACTTAACCATACATTGGTTAAATTTTATGAAATAGTTTGTCAATCTAGGTTTAAAAAGAGAGATTTATTGTAAAACATAGCAGCAGTGAATGTTATTTGGATAGAAGATTTAGAAGTAAAATTATAAATACAATACGATTGGCTAGAAAATTTGACACTAAACACCCAATAGTAAATAAGCATACATGTACTCGTGTAGCGTTAGGCAATAAAATGTAAGATTAATTATATATTCTAGATAAAAGTCCCGTGACAGTTAAACAGTTCAAAAACTAATACAAATAGACCTACTAAATTTGGTACAAAGTTACTGATCAAAAACATAATTGTCAATGATGTGCTACATTCCAAGGGGGGCCCGGTAGGAGTCAGAAGAAAATCTTAAATGTAAGTATATGTTAATGCACATTGAATATTGATCAAGAGCCGGTATTTTTAAACTTATAAAAAGTTCAGACTCCACAAATATATTTTTTTACAATATTTTAAAAATTATGTATAATAAGATATATGTTTGTACTAGACAATTAAAATTAGTTGTGAGATTTGAAATAGTGAACCTTTAGTTTTGGTACATTCTGTATTCGAAAAATATTGAAATATTCTAAAAAATATCTTTTGGGACAGGGTTTGTGAGAAAAAATTCCATTTCATTATTGGGGGACCAACAGTTGGTTGAAATCAATAGTGAAGTCGACTTTCAGGAGATTCACCTTGTTTATTTTAGTTAAGGTAACTCATGTTGATTTCTATAAAATGTATTACTTCAATCTAAGATACAAAAAGCCGCCACTTATCAAGAACTTGAGTTTATGCGTTATAGTATATCTTATAATCTAATAAGCAAAGTTTGATTTGATCAAATGTATGATGGTGTTGTTTGATTAGACGTAATCTATCAATCAAATGCACATTTATCAAGTGTTTTCGATTCATTTGTTTTATTCCGTTTAGGATATATATCTGTGGAGCAAGGTACCAGATAGCGAAGCATTTGTCTCTGATAGAAAATCAATAGTCCGACATGCAATGAACATTCCTCTCCTATAAAAGATACTTAAATGTTGTGGATCCAACCAAACTCTGGGTCAACTAACCCATATTTCACATAGTCTCTGGTGGAATATCTGACTGCATTTAAATGATGCGGAACAAAAATAGATTCTCAACATATTGCACAGTTGCTGATGTTGATATTGTACTTGGAATACATTGTTTTCTAAAAGGGTATTCAGAATGTATTTCATTGTAGATATAAATACCCCCGTCACAGCAAACCTGCATACTAAGCGAATTTCCGTTTACCCGGCTTGATTTCTACTAAAATATTCCCAAAAAAATTTCAGATCCCTAATAACCTCCTATTTCCCTATTTCCTGTTTAATAACCCTATTTTCCTATTTAAATAACATTAATTTTAGTGATTAGTTAGGTTTGCTGCTACGGGGAAGATATTGAGTTGTGTTTTTTTATTATTGAAATATTGATAGCTTAGTATGAAATAAACCAAATTGCCAAATTTGATTAAAATATATCTATAAACAAGCAAACTACAACAGTTTATTTATTCTCCATAAGAATAACATGGGAATTTTAAATTTACAGTTTTTTTAAATTTTCTCCGTGGTCAATGAATATTCAAAAACACTTCAATATACTAAATTATTTGTTTTTTCAAAATGGTCTAGAGAGAAATTTAGAAATGTTATGTTTTTAGGGTCAAAATTAGAAAAACCCATTTTTACCCCACAAAACCCCCATAAACCTCTGTTGCCATAGTCCGATTATGCTGGTTCGCGAACTCGTTCGAATAAACGTAGGTTTACACTTTTGTACCAAATGTCATCAAAATTGGATCATTTTTGCTTGAGTTATCGCGCTAACGGACACATATATGAATTTGAACGGATGGTGTTTTTGGCCTATGGGGACCTCTAAATGAAAAAGTAAATCGGTCCCTGGTCTAGGTCTTACCATGAGACCTACGGTAATAGCTTATTCCCTATATGGGAAATTCGCTAAAAGTAGAGTAAAAGGGTATATTCGAATTCGGTAAGTCATAAAAACCGAAAATATATCACTGTGTTCATAAATTGTTTCAATACTTAAGGACTTTATTCGCAACACAAATTTTTTTCTTTATAGAATACCTTATCAAATTCATGTGTCTAGATACACGAATTTTATTTTTATTCCTGCACCATCGCGTAAATTACGACTTTTCATGAGGCCGTGTTTGACGTAAATAAGCACTGAATATTTTAAAACTGTTTGATCAAATTATCTTACTATCTAAATCAAATTACGAATTTTAAATTTTTTATTGTATAGTTAAAACTTTATGGACTCGGAAAAAGACTGTAAGGTTCATGGTATTTGTAAACAAGAATATTAATAAAATATAGCTTTTTTCTCCTATGTGCTTTTAAAGTAAAAAGTAATTTTGTAAAACTTGTAATTTCAAACAGTGTATGGAATTAAAAGGTATACGTAGGTAATCTTTACATGTATAATTAACAATGCATATGTATAAGGAACTATAAATCTCACGTTATGTATAAGCTGTTTTGTTTTCTCTACAAATCGTTGTGTGAAGTGTTTTTAGAATATACTGGTCTACAACTGAATTGAGTCGTCACTGTCCTAGTTTTTATATTTTTTTAGTATAACGTTCTAGGTTATAAAAGCGTATTTTGGTAATATAAAATTTCATTCCTAAAATCGCAAGAGTACGTAGGTAAACAATATGCACTACCCCCACCGTTTTGTAACAGGTATGTCAGAGATTTGATATACAATTTTAATTTAGTAATTGTATCACATTATACAACAATATTGAATTCTTTAAGCGATCTAGAAAGGAAAAATGCATTCACTACTGTAGATTTTTCCGTATCATACAAAAACTATGGGTCTTTTAACCTTTGTAATGTTATTTCATACAACTTCGGTCTTAGTTATCGATTGTTGGGTATTTGGAACGATAGTTAAATTGGATTGATGGATTTCAATTCAACTACATATCACAACAAAGTTATATTTTTTAAATAACTGATTTGTATGATAGTTTTAAGAACTTTATTTACTGTTTTTAAGTTTGGATATACAGTATAACTAGTTGCAATTCGTCCAGGATTGTTATTGATAAAAATGTTTACATTAAAATATCCAAACTTGAAGATGTCTTACCGGATCTTTTACACTCTTGGGCCTCGGTTTTGACACGGGTGAAATATACAAAAATGCAGGGTAAAGTTGTTTCCAGACTACACACACCATTCGCAGATTTTAATTTCATAGTTTGTTTATTTTAAAGGCAAAACAAACATGTTTATTAATAACCTCTCCAGCTAAAATGGCTTGAAAAAAACTAGTTTGAATAGCCCGATGAAAGGTGTCAAATCGATATTAATATTATTTTCAAATATAGCTTTTACCTTCTTTACATGTTCACCTTAGATGCGTCCCACCACATTTTGTTATAATTATAACGATCAAATTATAATTAGAAAATGTTATTGATTTTTGAGATAGTAAATATTTATTGTAGAAGTGTGTTGAAATACTTACTCTGACCTACTCAATTATTGATCTCCTAGACGAGTTATTTTTAAATGTCATTATGATAGTAGAAACTCAAATTTTGGTCAAAGAGGATTTAATTTTTTAACTTTTGGAAATAGTAAGACATTTTTGTAAGGTTATGTAAGACATTTGTATTTAAAGTAACTGATTTAAAATAATGGAGACATTGGCAATCAATTAAACGAATATGTACCTGATTTTAACTTAGTGGTATGTATCATATAATCCATGTTCTTTTATTTTACATGTTTACACGCTATTCCCATTAGAAGCATCTCCAAATAAAATAAAACACGAAAAGTTTCCCGATATTTTACCTATATTTCAGATGTTGATAAAAGGGTCTGGAGAAACTCTTTCCGCTAGAAATTTAATAGACTTTCAAAAAAATATCCTTAAACAAACGCCGATACATTTGCTTAAACCTGGTTAAATGTTACTCGACTACTGTCCGAGCAGTTAGTAGCGAATTGACTAGTTGTATCTACATTACCTGGATACAATTTACCTGGAGTTTTGGGAGTTTTTGGTCTTTTCCCACTTGGTTTCCTCTGTAAAGGGGACCTGGGGTCATTTCCTTTTCCTGCAGAGGACGTCCGTGAAGGTGTCCTTACCAAAGGAGTCTTCCTCCCTTCGTTGTCAGAGCTATTACCAAGATCTTGTTTCAAAGATGGGGATCTCTTTAATGATTTTGGTCTCTCAGTTTTATTTGAATGATCGAAATTCTCACTAATATCAGGGGTTTTGCTTGGTGTATCCTCACGTGAATGAGACCCACTGTCTTTTTCAGGTAATGGGGTCCCTGCAGTTGATTCATTCCCTTTTACTGATATAGGAGTACTGTTCTGTGAAATATCTGGACTTTTTGAATTCAATTGATCGCTTTGCTGATTATCTTTCCCAACCGGAAGGGGAGTTGTTATGCGAGACTGATCATTGGATTTAGGGATAGGTGAAACAGAACCACTCAGAACAGAGGGTGGTTTCTCTGGGCCAACACCGGAGGGTCCTGTTTTGTTTGTCTGATCCGCTGGGGGCGCAGGAGATGTTCTGTTGTCCTCCCCATTAGATGGAGTTAACTTACCAGAATCTGATTTAGAATCATCACTTCTAGAGGTTTGTCTTAAATCTGGTGTCGGCTTTGGTGTCATTGGTGAGTTATTTGGAGTTATGCTTCTGCTTTCAATTCTTTGCCGATCCAAACTGTCCTGTGGAGAAATACTCTGTGGCCTTGGACTTTGAAAGTCGGGCTTGGGAGAGAGTGGTGGAGTACTTTGGCTGTCGGGCCTGTACTGAAATGGTGTTTTTACCATGTCTGAGCTCAAAGGCCTCGCGAGAGGACTCTCTCTAGGAATAAGTTTCGGTTCTCCTCTGTTGTCTAGTCCTGAGGGAGCCCTAACCTCAAAGCTTTGTCTACTCTCTGTTCGAGAAAGTGGTCTGGGAGAACTATTCAAATCAGGAGGCAAACCCGGCCTAGGACCACTGGGGGGTCTCATCGTAGGTGTATGAACTCTGTTCATTCGCGGATCATTTACAGAACTGTAAACTACATCGTCATCATCATCTTTAGGAGTTCGTGGAGGACCCGGTGGAGTCTCTCTGCCTCTTTCTCCCATCGGACGAGGAGGATTGGGGGAGAACATACCTGACTGAGGATTCATACCTCTGGGCTCCATACTTCTTACGGAATCATTTCTCTGCATGTCAAAAGGCTGTCTCCTATCGCCACCACTCATCACTCTCTGTACTCCTTGTGGAGGAAGAGGTGAAGGGCTTTCCCTCCCTTCTTGTGGCATCGGTCTTTGCATAGGTGTCCCAAATTTTTGGGGATTGTTTCCAGAGGGTGGCCTTCCATTATACATCATATTTGGAGGGCTTTGCATTCCTGGGTTGGGACTTTGCATACCCGGATTAGGGCTCCCTCTACCCAATCCTGTGTTGACTGTCTGCCCATCTCCTGGAGGTCTTTGCATGACATTTTGATCTGAGGGCTGCATCGGCCTGCCTTCAAACTGAGGCCGTCTTATTGGTACAAATTGCTGTCTAACGTCAGCAGGTAGTTTCTGCTTGAGCAAGACCCAAGGGTTCGGTCTCCTCACGATATTTTGAGGAGGAGCTTGTCTCGGTATAGGAGGAGGCTGAGGGGTTTTAGGAGACTGTGGCTGAGATGGGAGGGCTTGAGAATCTCTAGGGACCGGGTTGAAGTTCAAAGGCTTCTTATCCGGTTGATTTATGTAGACCCTTTGATAATCTTGATTTTGTGTGGGCGACTCAGCTCTCCTTTGTAGTTGAGGTCGGAAGTGTTGAGGTTGATTTGGAGGCTGAGGACCACTGGGTCTGTAGTTGTTTGGAGGAGGCCTTTGAAAGTTCTGAGGCTGAAAGTTTAATGGCGAGCCTGGTCTTTGTTGAGGAGGTGCGGGGACAAAGGTTCGACTTTCAGACCTCCTCAGAGGTACACCTCTTGTCGGGGACCCATAAGCAGGTGATCGAGGGGGTGGTGGGGGTTGGAGAGGGAGAGGGTGGTACTCAGGTTGTATTGACTGATACTCCTGATGTGATGCTTGATACTCTGTAGCACTCTGATATTCTTGGTACTCTTGTTGACCTGTGTGATACTCTTGGGTTGGATGCTGATACTCAGATGAAGGAGTACTCTGGTACTCAACTGGGCCACTTTGGTAGTCTGAGGAGGATGAAACTCTTTGGTACTCGTTTGTGCCACTCACCTGAAAAAAATAAAATAATATTAGCAAATAGATCAAAATCGTTAAAACAATTCTTTTTGGCAATCACATTTAGATGTTCAGTTTTTTTTCTACGACTAAGATCAATAAACTTTCCTATTCATTCATATACCTTTTCCGTATGTATAATTTTGTGCAATACTATGAATTGAGTCCCCTGTGTTTAGTAATTACTTAAAAACACTATTTCCCATAATTGTGTCTTACTGCATAAAGTCAAAAGTCAATATTCGTATGCCGACTGAGTCAATTAAATCCAATTAACTACTTTACCATGAATCATTATAACTGATTAAAAATATCGATATACAACTTTTAGTAAAAAGAATTTGGTACTTTCGTATTATACGGAGGCCACTTATTTTAGAGGGATTTTTTTACCGGATACCAATATTGACCTTAGCCTACTTGGAGGGGATTTGACGGGCAGAAGTATGACTCATCTTGTATCGTTCGATTCGTAACGAAAGGAGGAAGGTTCTACAAATATATTTATGATAACCCAACCTAACATAACCGCCACAGCGCACTGTATTAAGGGTGGGCTCCGAATAATATAAAAGTACCATGATTTCCAGCATACAATTATTACAGCTATAAATGTTGACCGTTATAGTATCTGTATAGCTTAAATGTTGTTTATAACTCATTTAAAAATCATACACATCTTGTTTCATACACATTTTGTTGTATACGAGTATTATTCTCGTTTTACGTGCTTTCCATCTATTTTATAGAATACATTACCAAAGTATTGAAATTGTGTATTGCATGAACAATACCGCTTGAAATTCAATAACTTCATCATTGTTATTAGAAAACCAGTACATGCGTTTACCAAAACTATTGATCTGGTTACAGAAAAACAATTAGAAACGTTTGTAAGAATAACAAATATTTGTACATTTGATGCGTTGCTATAATTTCTTACAATACCATCCGCAAATAAAACTTTGTATTATAAATTTCTATTACTTGGATCAATTCTTTCTCGAATTTTAAATCCAAGTCACGGTAAAACCTAAAGCTGAATTTTGGTGCTGAACGGAGGAAAAATGGAGAGGATACAAAAGTTTTTTGGATCGCGTGCCTTGCGTTGACAGGGAGTCCCAAGTATCTAAGATGGATAAGAGTCTATATAAGTTAAACAGCGCTATCCTCTCATATCAGGTAACACAAGATACATTTTATAGTGATTACAAGAACGTGAAGTCGATCGTTATTTGTATTCTTATTAGTTGTCAAAACAAAAATGGAAAGAGAGGAAATATTACGTTTTACAAATCTGTGACATATTATACTTCTTAAGTATCTTTTTATTTACGACTATATACTTCCTTAACAGCCATTGAATGAAGAGTTATACGTATATTAACCCTCGAAATGATACCTAAAAATAGTTATTCGACCTATTGAAAAAATACCAAATTACTGAATTAGCTTAAATAAAAACACTCCGTAGCAGAGGGCATGCAAAGCAAGCCTCTTGTCAATCTTTTAGGTTTCATTTTGCCAAATGCATAACAATATTAATTGTACACTTAGAACCAAGCTAAACAGAAATAATTGGCTTAATTGGTATCTTAGTTTGCTGCTTCGAGCATTACAATGATAAGTTTTTGCTCAATTTTAAGAATATAAAATAAAATATATTTTCAACATGTTGTGAAGGTATGCATCAATAAAAAGGGGAGACCATCTCCAGCAATTAATTGATTCATTCTATAAATAAACGGCATCAACAAACCAACACGACTATTCAAACATTACGACTATTAAAGGTAACATAACATACCGAATTTTGATTAAAAACTACTGAATACACCATAATAATATTATTATGGTATTATGGTATTATATTAGTACCAAAATACCAAATTTCACCAACTTTGGACCACAGATGTAGTTTGTAGCTTGTCTCCCATATAATATGTATAGGGGGAGAAAGTAAAAAGTAACATGAGATTCGGCATATTGCGTTTACAACTTAAATGTCTCGATAACCAATCGGCATATGAAAATATAAAGACTCCCTTTCCAAGTATTTCAATTAAATAATGCCCAGTAGTTATCATGATAAATTAAATGCTTATGTTAGGCTAAATGGCAACCAAACATTATAATCTGTAATTATTACAATACATCGGGTGTCAGAGTACTTAAAAGATTTTGACTTGAGTATCAATGTGTAAGCTAAATGTTACATTGTAGCTTTACAATAGCAACAAGTGTGCAGAAACGCCTTAAACTTTGTTGCAGACATATTGTCGCGTGCTATTCACTTCAGATATTTGGATGCCAATTGATCTTAAAATAAAGATTATTAATGTTACTAAGTAATTATAGTAATAATTTACTCCAATGTGTTGCATGTTATTAGGAAGAAGAATTTTAATTTTTAAAGATTAAGTTAATTAAGTAAGATTATTTTTTTCATATTTCTGTTATGTGAAAGGCAACATAAACTACTTTTGGAACGATGCGGGGTTTCGGTATTTAGCAGGAGACTTGTTTTTGGAGGTACGTAATACAAATTAAAAAGAATAAGCGATTGTATTTATACTACTAGCACTAAAACTTCCTTACATAACATTTTAAATCTCGTACACATAATGTTAATTGCCATTAAACATTATTGCAGTACCGAATAGGAGTTTTTAGCTAAATACTTGTTAAACGTAACCTTCACTATTTGTGGCTTTTACGAAAGTATAAACTGATATTTGGATTTAAATCCTCATATATAAAAATACCCCCGCCGCAGCTTATCTGCAGACTAAGCGTATTTCCATTTCCATAGCTGGATTTCTACTGAAATATTCCCTTAAAATTGTCCGATTTATTTACTATTTAAATAACATAAATTATAGTGAGTACTTAGGTTTCCTTCTACAGGGAGGTGTGTGTGTGTGTGTGTGTGTGTGTGTGTGTGTGTGTGTTTATTTTTATTTTATTGAAATGTTGATAGATTAGTATGAAACAAACGAAATTGCCAAAATTGATTAAACTATATCCATAAACAAGCAAACTACAGCAGTTTATTTATTCTTTATGAGAATAACATGGGAATTTTAAATTTACAATTTATGATCTTCGTAACCGTTGGACATACAACAACGCTTCAATATATAAAATAATTTTTGTAAGCCCTACAACGTTTTTGGAAAGAAATTATGAAATAATATTGTGTTTTTACGGGAAAATGGGCAAAATCAATTTTTACCAGATAAAACCCCCATACACCAGGTTCCCATAGTCCGATATTACTGGCTCGCGAACTCGTTCGAATAAACGTAGGTTTACACGTTTGTACAAAATTTCATCAAAACCGGATCATTTTTGCTCGAGTTATCACGCTAACGGACACACACAAACAGTATATTAATTTGAACAAAGGGTATTTTTGGGCTCTAAGGTCCTCAAAATGTAAAAGTAAATCGGTCCGGGGTCTTGGTCTTACCATGAGACCTACGGTAATAGTTTATTCCCTAAATCAGAAATTAGCTAATAAAGGTACTTTATAAATGTATGTCCACCTCAGCATTTATTTTCCCCGTCAAACAGAAGCTGTAGTCCAATGGAAGTCTAGGGTAGCTAACAGCCACAGTTTGGGTTTTGTCAACATGAAGTTTACAGCCATTTTTTGCGGCCTAGCGAGTCTTCTTCGGTTATTTCTTCCTTACTGGGTTACGTTGCATTAGGTAAAGACAGAACAACAGCAAAGGACTTGAAAGTATGAGCATTTTGACATACACGCAAAATCTGCTGATATTTCCTTATGCAAAGCCAATAGAAGTGAACCTAGGTCGAAGTAACTTGATGGAAAGCTTATTTATCGAGTCGAGTGGTGTGATGTCTGAGCCGAAGCGCTGTCTGTCAGCCGGTGCAAAACGTGACATGCACTTTGAAGAATATATCCAGAGCTCGGGCTGTCACATGATTTGGCCCCGTTTGCTCGAATAAAAACAAACGGCACGAAAGGTGAGGTTATGTTTGGGCATGGCTGTACCATTCGCTGAATCCTCCCAATCCGCCCTCTATCGACTTCTGTCTTTGGCCCTCACACTCTCCCTCTCGCTTCCGCTTGTTTAATAGTTTCACTCAACAACTAACCTAACTGTTAGACACGTTTATTGTCTAGTTGTATAACAGCTACTTCCGACCTGTCGGACATAAATGAAAACCTGTTCTTTTAAATGTTTACGAAGTTTGATTGGAAACACTCCTTTGCCTTGAACTGAGATGGTTTGTCTATTTGAATATGTTGATGTTTTGGGGTAAAAATAATCTATCAATTTTTCACTCGATTCATTTTATCTTTTCTTTTATCACTCTATTTATTGACAACTGAAAACTATGGGGGATTTAAATCAAGCGGCCATTGTAACCACCACTTTTAATATGGTTTTTTTCACCACATGCTATAACATGCTACCGGGGTAAGGCTAGTTTTACTAATTTGCGTACTAATGTCCCTCATTATGACTTTTCTCTACCATTTTTGCTCACCAAGTTTCCAAGATTTTTTAGTATCGTCTGTCTCGTGCACAGCATAGGCGAAACGTAGGAAGTTTGAGGTGACTCCCTTAGTTTTAAAATAATGCCTCCAATAGAACAAATTATCTTTTATATGTATGACACAAACAATTAAAGTTACTGTTGAAGTAGCAATGCTTGCATGATTTTATAATAGGTGTTTCACTTTTTGCTTGAACACAATTTTTCATTTCAT